TCTTGGATGGGTTCTTTTAAGGAGTTGGATGTGAAGTAGGAGAGGACAGCACGGAGGGTATCCCTGTCGGGATTTAAGGATGGATAGATCTTTAGGACGGGCCGAATCAAGTAATTGGGTGTCGTCGGCGTAGGAGATGAGGCGACCGTGAGGAAGATAGGATGGAAGGTCATTTGTGAAGATGCTGAAAGATGGACCGACGAGGGAACCTTGCGGAACCCCATGGGAAAGAGGCAAGAACAAGGAACCCCTCTCACCACCTGCCGTCGACCAGTCAGGTAGCTACGAAACCATCTAGGATCAATACCATACCAGCACAGCTTTCTAAGCAGAACGTCATGGTCAACACTGTCAAACGCCCGGCTCAAGTCGATGGACGTGACGGCGACAACATCGCCATCGTCGACATGCCGCGTCATCCACTCCACCGCGTCGATCAGCGCGTCCTCCGTTGAGTGTCTAGATCGGTAAGCATACTGTGACGGAGCTAAAAGGTGACAGCGAGCGAGATAAGATGACAGCTGAGTACAAACAATTTTTTCACACACTTTTGATAACACAGGTAAAATAGAGATTGGCCTAAAATTGCCTGGTAGATCTTTGGCACCGGACTTGTGCAAAGGCACGACTGTAGCGAGCTTCCATGTATCGGGAAAAGTACAAGAAATGATGGACGCGTTCACAATGTGTAAAATATGAGAGCCTATGACAGTAAAACACGATCTTATAGACTGCAGCGGTACACCATCATGCCCGACTGCGCGGGACGAAGACAACCGGCTCAGAGCCAGCGACAGCTCCGGCAGCGTGGCAGGCTGCAGACGCAGCCCCGTCGACGTAACACACGGCGGCCGCGGCGGGAGTGGGGAGGGGTCACTGGCGGACAGCTCAGCAGCGATTCGCGGCCCAACAGCTGCGAAATGGGCGTTAAAAGTGTCCTCTTGACCCGGTGGTACCCCCTCGCCAGCACCAGCTCCACCACGGGAAGGACGGAAAGCGAAGTCCCTGATGTTGCGCCAAAAGGCTCGGCGATCGGAAAGCATGTCACTGGCTAAAAAGCATGTCACTGCTGTAGAATAGACCTCGGCATACGGCTGTAGATATGTGGCCTCTGTTTTCCTGAGCTCACCCAGTTTCCGCCGGAGACACTCACCCTTTTCGCTGGAGATGCGGTAAGTGCTGCCGCCGCTGTCTTTCAGACTTCTCTCGATCGTGATGTGGCCGCCGTACTTCTCCGGACTGAAGGCGTCGTAGCCGCTGTTGTCCAGAGTCAGAGATATCACAGCTGACTTCTGACCAGTGCGGATCAGACCTGGCGACGAAAAAGACGGTCGAAATATGATAATCTGTGAATTCAGGGTTTCCGAACTTCCGGGGTCATTGGCGCCAGTAATGTTAGACTTTGTTTCCAATACACTAAAATTATGACTTCAGCTACAACTGACGCAGTGGAAGCAGACTACGAGTCAACCTGAGTCAAAGTCTTGGTTGGGGGCTCTGGGCGAGGAGCTGAAGTCCTGGCACACGCACGGAACGATGTGTTAGTGCAGTGTTGTGGGCCGCGCTGTGCACAACTGACCTTTGATGTTGCTGCCGCGGTCGGTGGTTGCTGCGCGAGCCCCCAGTCCCACCATCACTGCCGTCAGCACGGCGCTCTTCCCGCTGCCATTCTGGCCTTTGATGAAATTTATCCTTTCATTCAGTTTGAAGTTGAGGTGCTCGTGGCACATGAAGTTCTTGAGCGTGATGCTACGAAGAAAGCCGGGACCCTGGGGCTGTGAGGAGATAGAAGGCGCGTTAGGATATCACAAGTAGTTCACTGTCTGTAGTGGGCTATGGTTGTTTCTACCGCTGTGATTACGGATTGATAGTTCAGTAACACACCTTACGACATGGAGCTAGCGATGGCTTACAGATAGTTACTGGTCAACAGGATAAGAGCTTAGCATGCCTAGGTATTCTATTTCAGTATTTACGAGTAGCTAGAATGCACAAATAGGTAACAACTCTATCGCAGAACAATTGAGACAGGGAGAATGCACGGTGTTTGGTCCCATCTCTAGCCCAACTAAAAGTCCCAAGTCACCCGCGGTGCAGTGATTCCACCTTAAGTTCAACTCACCAGTGTCTCCTTAGGCTCATCGTAGCTGCTGCGGCTCCGTTTGCGCGCCGGCGCACCAGAGTCAGAGCTGGTGCTGCGACGCACCACCTTGGGCACAACCTTCGGCATCTTGGTGCCGCCAGTGCCAGAGGGACAGCACTGTAGGTGAGCTGTGGAAACAAATTTATTCATATACATATGTCCCATTGATGGACGAAATGATGCCAAGCGATGAAAAGTATTTGTGTTGCTTGGCACCCTCTGATCAGTGTTAGGACCCTTGGTAGCAGGGCTATGAGGTCATAATCAGTCAGAGTCTACAGTTACCAGTGCTACCTGGAGTCACAGTCAACTTTTCGATGCTGAAAACAAAATCAGTCACCTAAAGTTCATCAGCTCTGCAGAACCTCCAGGACTTCAACCTAAACCTCAACCTAAACCTACCTACCGTTTAGGTTTAGGTTCGGTACAAACCACGAAGCCGGCCGTCATAATCGCGTCACTGCCCGAGCGATGTCATGGGACAACGCCTCCGGGGGCCGGTCGTACCCACAGGCGAATGACTGACAGTTGGCGAGCCGGGCCCGGACGGCCGGACACCTTGGTGTTTGAGGCGGGGTTGACTTATCAGACGCTCTGGTGCCTGTTAATTGTTCAATTAGCCGATTGCCAGTAAGTTATGTCCATGTACGGCGCTCCTGGGCAGATACCAACTTTTGTTAAATAAATAACCTACGAGTTTCGCCACATATGCCTGGTAAGTGGCACTGCACTGTAGAAACGCGGCCATATTTAACCTTCTCAAATTCTCCATATAGTTAGCAGTGTATCTGTTTTCACTTTTGACGAAATGTTGCGATTGCGAGGAATGCTAAAATTAGTATGGGGAATGGGGTTGTTTGGTAAATGACGAACAGATATTAACGAATGAAGAAGCATTTATACGAATCATCAAAGGTCTTGCCTGAACTCAAACAGTCATGTCGAATAGCAAAGGTTATACTAACCGACGAGCCAGACTGGAAAACATCCATACACTACGCCGTTTGTAGGCCTTCTTGCGCCGAAATTCGGCGCAAGCGATTTTGCGCTGAAATTTCTGTTTGCGTCAAAAGTTGGGTGCCTATTTGTGCCAAAATTAAGCCACTTATATATAAAGCACATATATGTGCACATCTACCAATCAAGGCTATATCAACCAGACAGAGCGTTCCGGGGCCTTGGACGCTCTTCCATGGTTCAGCGTCCGAATAAGTTTTTTATTTCCACGGAAACCCAATACCTCAATACGCTTAGCACAATGTAGCGTCGTGCCGTGAAACAAGGACAGAGCCGTAAGTTCATGGGCCACAAAAATCGGCGGAAAATGTGGCTTGCATTATCAGTGTAATGTAACTTACGAACGCGTGGTGAGTGAGCTTAAGTGAAACCGAAACAGCGGTGTGTTCGAGGCTGGCGGGAGCCAGTGAGGGCCGGACAGTAGAGCAGCACATCAGCCTCTTCTCGGCACACGGTGCAGAGCGCCGCGGGGCACCGCTTGTTTGGGCGTTGCTGGCATGCCGCGGAGTGGAGACAGCTGATTCGGTGCACATACAAGAGCGAGCGGCCCCAGTGGCCCGCCCTCAGGTGGTGCACCGAAACGACGTCCTCTCGGTCCGCTCCGGGGATAGGGAGCGGTGACGTGCTCCTAAGGAGTGGCTCGGACCAGTTGTCACGCCATTAATACGAGGCCGCACAATGAACAGCCCTGATCAGCGAACGGGTGTTTGAGGGCAGGGTGGCCGCTTGTTACGCCAGGTCATACGCGCTCTCAATTCCCTCAATACCGCCACTGGGCGGTATTGCAGTATTACTTAACGACGCTCGGCGATTTTCAACAACGTCTTTTATGGGTATCTGTCTCCACATCGAGGGTTGAGGCCTCACCTGGGCGGCCGCTCCTCTGCTGAGTAGAACCAGAGCGGCTCGCCAGTTCGAGCACACGACTGGGGCGAGGACATCTTATTCCAAAACCTCCCCAGAGCCGCCGCAGGGTGAATCTGCTGCTAATTAACCAGCAAGCTGAATAAATGGTACTCTCTTAGCAGACGTCACCCGAGCTGCCATATCTACGTCTCACGCGCGCAACAATTGTCTTTTCATGGTTAAATATATAACAAACATAATCTAACCTGACCTAACCTGACCTACAACCTACAACCTAACCTACCAACCTACAACCTACCCTACCTAACTGGATATGGCAGCTCGGGTGACGTCTGCTAAGAGAATACCGAATAAATTTGGTGACCATCTTTCAGCAAAAAATTATGCAGCCGCCCTGCACCAAAAAAATCAACCGCCGCTCTGTGCTGAATTCATTCAGCGAATGCAAAGTTGTGGCGGACGTGCGCTGAAATTTTCAGCGCAATCCCGCCACTATGCCGGACATATACGGCATACCATGTATTTTTTCCCAGTCTGGCCGACAGATACCCTATATTGATATGAATACCGTAGGTTGCAAGTTTTAGCCTTTAGGTTGGTAGTTTGTAGGTCTGTACTTCTGTAAGTTGGTTGGCAGGTTCAATGTTATAGGTAAGGTAAGGTCAGGTGAGATTACTTTAAAGTTTCGGTAACGGTAGCGCTGGCTTACACCAAAGTTTCTTGGTTTCACCACACTGCACCTATACATTTACTCATAACAATAACAATAACACAGCAACAGCCAACAGTTAGACAATGAAAATGAAAATTTACATTCACATTCGGAGAAATTCATCTTCCTCATTGAGTATCTCAAAACTATGTTTTAGGGCCTTGCTCAAAACTTACCCAAAACAACCAAAACGCACTGGGAGCCCTAAAACCAATAATTGCAAAATCGAACAGCAAGTGTTATCATTTTGTAATCAAAAATTGAAATCGTGACTCGACTTGTTTGCCAAGATCATGTTTGCGCGGGATAACTGCAAAGCTATGTATCGTACAGTTATTGTTCAACAAAGATTGACGACGAGTGGTGAAAAGCACGTTTGGCGAATGAGACTTACAGCTGTTGATGTAATTGCTTCAAATTGCCTAGCAACTGCTCTTCAAAGCAAGCTTAGAACAGAGTATGGTCTCAGTTCAGCCGCATATGAAACAGGGCCAGTAAACTGAGTTGAGGCCATTAAATATATTTTACTGCAGCTTTCATATGAAAGCATCGACAATGCTTTATCCAGAAAAGTAAACGACAATAATAAAAAGGTGAGACTTTGACCGCTTATTCTGCTGGGAGACGGGAGCAAGTTTTTCGGCCTGAATAGATTATTGCAGAGCACCGGCATAATAGTCCAGCCACCCGACAGGTGCTCGACAGGTCGGGTTACTCACGGGAGATGTCATCTAAGTCAAAGCATCAAAATTCAAAGGTAAAGTTATTCCCATTTTCATGTTTTGACATCGGCTCAATCGCCTGACACCCGGAGACCTCGGGTCGCTGAACGGCTGAATGAAACCCGTCCGGCTGACAGGGACGTAGCCAAGGGGGGGCGGAGGGGGCGCCCGCCCCTCCCTTGGGGTTTTCAGGAGGCCCCCCGAAAGGATTCAGGCCAACGTGGGCCGAAGGCCCACGTTGGCCTGAATCCTTTCGGCCTGAATCCAACGTGGGCCGAAGGCCCACGTTGCCCAAAATAACGTCGGAGGCGAACGAAATTCACGCAGGAATCTAAAAAATGACGTCAGAACAATCAGGGCCCTCTGACCAGCCTGACAAGTGACAGCTAGGGCCCTTCTCATCTCCTGTGAATAACCACTAGTGTCTGTGTCTGACCGCTAGGGCCCCTCTGACTCCTCAGTAGAGAGGAGGCCCTCTGTGGGTAGGAGGCCCTGTGTAGAGAGGAGGCCCCCTTAGAGAGGAGACCCCCTGTAGAGAGGAGGCCCTCTGCAAAAAGGAGGCCCTCTGTAAAAAGAGGCCCTCTGTAAAAAGGAGGCCCTCCGTAGAGAGCAGGCCCTCTGTAAAGAGGAAACCGTCTGCCAATCAGAAGGCCCTTTGAAGAGAGGAGGCCCTCTGTAGAGAGGAGATTGTCTGAAGAGAGGAGGCCCTCTGTAGAGGAGGACTCCCTCAGTAGAAAGGAGGTCCTCTGTAGGTAGGAGGCCGTCTCTAGAGTGAAGGCCCTCTGAAGAGAGGAGGCCCTTTGCAGAGATGAGGTCCTCTGTATAGAGGAGGTCCTGTGTAGAGACGAGATTCTGAAGAGAGGAGGCCCTACATAGATAGGAAGCCCTCTGTAGAGAGGAGGTCCCTGTAGAGACTAGAGAGGAGGCCCTCTGTAGAGAGGATGCCCTCTGTAAAGGAGGCCCTCTGGAGAGAAAGACACCCTCAGCAGAGAGGAGGCCCTCTGTAGATAAGAGGCAATCTGTAGGGAGTAAGCCCTCTGTAGATAAGAGGCCCTCTGTGGGCAGGAGGCCCCCGGTAGTCAAAGACAGCTTCGTATATTAAGTACATAGAGTGGAGGCCCACTGCAAGCAAATCATACCTTCCGGCTTCTGTTCCCTGCTACTCTCTATAGAGAGTTCTCAGTTCTCACTATAACTGAGAACTCAGGAAACTGTACAAAATAGACTCCCAACCGCGTCGCCGCCCACTGTAGGAAGGGACAGGGGAGGAGGTCCTCTGTAAACAGAAGGCCCTATCCTATGTAGACAAATTACCTATTTGTATAAATGCGCTCAGAGAAATCACGCCGGGTGCCGTCAACGGTTTTGCCGTCAACGGTTTTACCTGCAGTGGCCGCAAAAACTGCCAAAATAGCCGATATTTTCGGAAACCAGTTTTCGGCAATAACTTTCGTCTCAAAATTTGCACGAACTTCCCTTTACCAGCATCGTGTTCCTCTCGTCAAGACGTGTGGAATGAACTATCAATTGACCTTGAAAGGTCAACTTGAAAATTTGGCCTCAGGTCAAGGTCATGACCTGACCGATAAGGGCTAAGTTCCATATCAGTCCATCCGTATCGTCGAGCCAAACACAACTAAGGTGTATTCATCGCTCTAGCATGCCTCTATCAAAAGTTATTCGCGAAAAAGTCAGATACCATTGGTGACCTGAGATGACCTCAGGGTTATAAAAAGGGGTCACGGGTGCCATTTTTATGTTCAGTGTGTCAAAGATACTAGTAATTCAGTGTGTTAAAGTGTTTATAATGACTTCCGTCTAAAAAGGCGACTTTCAATTTTAGGTCGCAAAATTGACCTGACCTTATGTCATCGATATCAAAATTCCAAGACATACATTTTTTTTTGCATTTTGTCGCTCTTGTGCATTTGCATCTCTGAAAGTTTCAAAGCGTTTGGTCACTCCGTGTAGCTTTGGCAGACATTGAAACTTATGTAGTGAGGTCATTTGACCTGACCTGGTGACCTGACTTTAAGTGACCAGGGTCTGAAATTTTCACAACATATGTAGAAATGATGTAGGTTAAAGTGTGGCGCGCCGCCGTTTTTGAGATATTCACGGTAAACTGCAGGGGCTGTTTAACACACACCCCCCCCCCCCCCGGCAGGGCGCGGGTTAATGCATGAACACAGCAGCCCATTTCTGTAATATATAACTAGTTACCTGTCGCTGTGTTGGTATTTTTACGATGCATGAAATAACCCAAACCATTTATCAGACCGTGGTGATATTCCCATAGCCATGCTTCGCACAACTCATAATAATTCATTTGACCGGGAAATTAATATATACCTATCCATCGATTTGTTTGTTTCATCTACGGCGTAAATGAAGCAAACCACCTGGACCTAGGAAAATTTACTAACGCAACCATGTTTTACTTACAGCAAGTAAACGTGGCATCATTCACACAGAAAGAATTGAATACCGTATAGTTTCAATCTTGCAGACGTCAGTCAGGTCAGAATCGTGACAAGCCTATTGGAAAATATAACTAACTGTGTCCTGCTTCGAGTAAACGAGTCAAAATCACCCAATTCTTTCTGAATTACGTCAGATTAGCTGATCTGTAAGCACCCAGGTGGCATTTACTGACAGGGGCACCGGGAAGGATCATCTGAGGTGAGGTGAGGTCATCAACAGTTTTTAGCCAATAAATCACGACATGATGGGGCTAAATAGTTGTTAGTGTACCAAACCGTTCGCCTGGTCATGACGCGCCGATTGGTACCCAGCGTAACCTTCCTAGGTCAGATTTTGAAGTTGACCTATCTATGTAGGTCGTTATAAACCATATTATTTGTTATGACCTCTGGCGACCTCAATATTGACCTGACCCAAAAAAGTTGTTTACAAAAGTTGTAAGTCGTTCAACGAACTATCAAACGCCGTTGCCGTTTGTCGCTAGTCGCTACGATTCGTGCTTTTCGAGTTCTGACGAGGGCCAAAAAGGCCTCCGCCCGATTCAGAGTCTTTCAGAGCCCGCCCGGAATACGGTTAAGCGCTTGAACGATATATGATAATACACCAAGTGTTACTCTTGCCGTCATCCAGTATCCACCCATTCCTCGCAGATCCTCCCCCTCCTGCTGCGGTCCGGCCGCCGCCGCCGCCGCAGGCGGCGCCCAAGTTTTTTTTTTTTTTTGCCAATGCCACTCGGAGACTTGTGATACGCGTACCTATGTTTCTTACCGCTGCAGCGGTTAGAATAAAGAAACATACCAGTGCGCTGGCCATATGAAAGCTGAACAAAAGCCTGCATTATATTGTATAGGGGAAGCCGGGGGAAGCCCGGGCGCGGGGAAAGCCCGGCCACCCCGTTTCCGGCTAAATTATTCACAATAAAATGCTCAACTGTTTGTCCTTTCAGCGTGGCAACTAAGGTAACGCCAGCAAAAAAGTTAACCCTATTCCTGGCGGGGGGGGGCCTCAGGAGCCCCCCCTGAGGTTTTTTGGTTATATCTCCCAAACGCGTTGAGCTAGGAAGCTCAAATTTTCTGACTTTTCCTAAAAGGCTTCTACGCAACATGTCTGAAAATTTTGAGTTGATCTGACCTCAGGTCAGGTCACCAGAGGCGGTTTGGTGACGCTACCTCAGAAAAGTTTGCAATCACGCCAGAGCTAGAGTTTTTGACCAATCAATTTCTTCTCTTCAGGGTTTAGTTAGGGTACCAGTATGTGCAATTTGTATATCTCGGAATTTTGATATCGGTGACCTAAGGTCAGGTCAATTTCGCGACCTCCCCATTATAAGTCAATGGGGGAAAAATCAACTCCCTGTTTTTACCACTAAAACGGGTCGGAATGGCCCCATATACCATACATGACTTCATATACGATCAACCTTCACTACCTTGAGGTCTGTTTTGCTGTTGGGCAGCTGTGAGGTCATGTGACGTCATCAAAGGTCACCAAAGGTTTTTGGCCAATAACTCCGTACAGGAACAAGATACAGACGCGTGGATGGTCTCATTGTGTTCAGCTCGTCAAGACGCATCGAATGATATACATGATGACCTCGAGGTCACGTGACCTGAGGTCAACCTTTGACCTTGACCTTTCGAGGTCAACATATATATCATTCGATGCGGATTGACGAGAGGATCACGATGATGCCCTTAGTTTGTTCCTATCTTGACTAATTCGAAAGTTATTCGAGAAAAACTATCTCCATATCTAGTGCCGCCATTTTGACTTTTTCGACCCCTGTGACGTCATCTTTGACCTGACCTGAAAATGACCTTAGTAAAAATTGTAGATCTTGGCCGTGCGTATCCGATGCCGTTTACCGCTTGTCGCTATCTTGCTTCGTTCTCGAGATCTCAGGGGGGGGGCCGAATCGGCCCCCCCCCCGCCAGTTTCTTGTCCCGGCGGAGCCCGCCAGGAATAGGGTTAAGGCTAACAAAAATTGCATATTGTTAAAGTTATAGCGCAAAAATGATATTTTAATGGTTTTTAGCTAAAAAGTGAGATATGTTGCACTGTTAATGTTATACCATACAGTACTAATATTTATACGAATGTTATGTAAGGACCGTTTAAGTGTTTGTAG